AACTGGCCAGGCACAGTGGCTCACACCTGTAATCCCAGCACTTTGGCAGGCCAAGGTGGGTGAATTACCCAAGATCAGGAGTTTGAGACCAGTCTGGCCATCATGATGAAATCCTGTCTCTACTAAAAAAATAGAAAAATTAGCAGAGCGTGGTGGCATGTGCCTGTAATCCCAGCTACTTGGGAGGCTGAGGCAGGAGAATATCTGGAACCTGGGAGGTGAAGGTTACAGTGAGCCAAGATCATGCCACTGCATTCCAGGCTGGGTGACTGAGAAAGGCTCTGTCTCAAAAAAAACAAAAACAAAAACAAAAAACTAAAATTAAAAATAAATAAATTAAAAACTATCCTTGGACCAATGATGACAGTGAAGAATAAAACAAGCATTAGAATAATTCAAAATCTTTTCACCTTATATGTATATGCAGGAGAGAAAGAGAAGAAGGAAGATGAGGAGAAAAAGAAGATGATGGAAAGAAGGGGAAGGGAAAGGGATATTGGGGTCCATTTGACTCTATACAAACAGCCACGACTTTTGTTTTAATATACATAGTCCTAAAAGCCGGCCAGCGTATGATAAGCTTCCTTCCCAAATCACTCTTGATTTTGAACTTCCAAAAATAGGCAAAGCCATTCAACTGATGGAATTGAGTTTACAATCACCTGATTCTTTCCTTCCAGCCTGTGATCATTTTTCTCCTAGTTCCCATGCTTCTCCATCTTCACCAGAGTTCTTCCATTTAGTCCTTCATATTTATTTCCGATTCTTCACTCCCTTGCTCTGTGCTCCCAGCAGCAGATGACCTGTATGGATTACCTCCTGGCTTCTGGTTTGATATGAGCAATGAAGAGCTTAATCAGGGGATCAGAGGAAGGGAAGGAAGTGGACCAATTTTCTCCACATTCCATCTCTGGGCAGGTCATGGAAGGTTGGCAATTTATTAAACCAGGGGGTCGCATAAGCTATCAGCTGACTCCCTCAACATAGCACTTTCTGCCTCCAGGGTCCCCTCATCACTCTTTCCTCATCTCTTCAGGCTTGAGGGTGTTAACAGGACTTCTGTTACCTGCTCTCCCTAGTCCCCGTTATTTCTCTGTCCCTCCTGTTTGCCTACACTCTGATGATCTTAGCTTTGTAAATAGAATTTTTATTAAAACTCTCTTCTAATTAGCAAATTTGAGTTTGCCATCTTTTTCCTGCCAGGAACCTGACTGATGCAAATTTAAACTCAAGCTCCAACTACTTCCCTCCTCCCAGAATCTCCTACTTGCTGCCAGGGCCAAAAACTGAGTAGTCGTCTTGATAGAAGCATGAAATCCTAATGCCTGCTACCAGTCATGAGGCCATGTCAGAAAACACCAATAACTTCTATCTGTAATGCTCAATAAATGAAGCTCTAGGGTCAGGGATAAAACAATGATAGATGCAGGAGGCAGGTAAGAGGTCAGGTCCCTGGAGAATTTCCAAACCGCCTGAGCACTGAGAGTATCGGGTGGAGTCATGGGAAGTTCTTGCTGCGTGCAGTGGGGAGGAGCGTGGCCTCTTCAGTTCCTGTGTGGTGGCCCGGTGTTCAGTCTGTAAGGTGGGGGCCTGCTAGCAGCACTCCCTCCGGCTTTGCTGAGAGTTCCTCTTTCTTTTCTTCCTTTTCACCCAATAAACCCTGTGCTACTCGCTTTTCAATGTGTCGATGTGCCTAAATTTTCCTGGTTTTGTGGCAAGATCCAGGTATTTTCTGCAACAACACGAATTTAATTTTCAGAGTGGGGAGTGAGTGGTAGAAATGCAAGAAATCAGGCTACCCATCAATATTGTAATGTGAGATCTTCTGGGGAGTGTCTACACTAAAAACATAAAATGATAGAAAATTATCATAATAAAATACACATAAAAGCGAAAGACTCAAGAAAGGAGATATGTAGATATAAAAAACAAAGAGGGAAATCTCAGCCACAGCTGTGAGTGGAAGCTGAAACAGAGTATTTCATGGAGATCCTGGTAGAGGATACAACACACTAAAGAAACTAGAATGATTCTAAGCAGACCTGCAGTGATGTGCTGGAGCAGCTCCTATAGCCTGCAAGAGCCAATTGTTCTATGAATTTTCAAATCAGTTGTTAAGCATAGCCATTATTAAAAATTAAATTGTGTAAACTTACAATTAATATTAAAATAAAAGAGATACATATGAAAAACTCATTACTTCTTATTTTACTACATGTTACAATTGTTCTAGCTCTTGAGGTTATTTGCATCTATGTAAATGTGTATTGGAAACGTTACTTAAGTGTGATCTACTGCATATCTCTTCCCAACTCTGCATTCACTGAGAGCACATTGGTAACTTGCAATTGGCTACAGTGGGAGGATTATGTTACGGAAATTACTAAATGTTATAAATCAGGGCATATCTTATTGCTTTGTTGATTGCCTAGATCAGAGGTCAGCAAATTTTTCTTCAGGGCAAATAGAAAATATTTCAGGTTTTCAGATTATACAGTATCTGTCACAATTATTCAGTTCTGCCATTGCAGAGCTAAAGTTGCCATAGACAATGTACAATTAAAATAATATGGCTGTGTTCTAATAAAGTTTTATTCATAAAAAAAGGTTTCAGGCCCACTGCTTTTATGTGGTTCGTGTTCAGTCTGTGCTGAGGACCACCGGAGATCAGACTGCTCCCGGAGATGAAGGTCACCAGGTTCAGAACCAGTCTCACAAATGGTCCAAGAGGACTAACGGGTCCTGGGGCTCAAACTTCTGGCTCCAGGGACTCAAACTGCCATTATTGCATAGTATTTGGTATTGGTAAAAGCTTTCCTTTCTCTATTTCCTTCCCTAAGCTCAAACCAGGAAGGGCCTTACACCATTCTCCTTTCAACTGCCTTTGCAGTAAAAGTTACAGGTATCGACTGCTGGATACATCACACTTGAGTCAAAGCTTGGAAAGCTGAGGAAGGAACCCCTGACAGCCTAGAGAAATGTCCTGGATAGCAATGTGAAGAAATAGGAAATCTTAAGCTAAAAATCATAAAAGATAAGTAAATGAGTGAGAGCTACTCATCCTGCTCAGTCCCATCCCTAACTTACCAAATGCTTTCAGTCATTTTTAATTTTCCTGTCATGATTCGCCACCAGTTATTAGAACTTCTTTTTAGTGCATACTTACAGAAAGATTTTGATTGTCCATGGCATTACGTTTGTAACTTCATAGACCCCAAAAGGGAAACTCTATATCTTAGTGAGTAAAATTTTAGATAGAAATTATCTACTACCCCATCCTTACAGGAATTGTTATACTCACTCTACAGTTTGTAGTAGAACTATATACTGTAGGACCCCACAGTGAGATATCAAACAAAGAATCTCAATCGCCATAGTGTTTTGCTTAATTATTATTCTTAGAGCAAGGATAATAGTTACCAACAAGAAATAACTATGAAGTTTTACTGTTACTGAGTCTGCTAGGACTTTTTATTGAGTTTGGTAATATGTCAAACCTTTTAATTCCTTTGATATCAACCATCCATCCTAACTATGCAGGGAAGGTTATAAAGAAAAGAGATTTTATGCAAGAAAGGATGCTGTATGGTAAATTCTTTTCCTGAAGAAAATAGGTGGTTGTTTAAAAAGAGGGATGTTTAGGACAAGTAAGAAAGCTTAAGCATGTCATAGATGCTTTGCATAAGTTGGAAAAGGATTAATAATTACAGGGAAAATTTAGTCAAAGTTAACACTAAAGTTACTCTAGCCACCCAATCCAATGCAACTTATCCTAAAAAGAATATTACTTTTATATTAATGTTTCTGGTAAAGTACAGCAACAACATCTGGTGAAGGCAAAATAGTACTACAACTCATTGGAATGGCTTGCAGGTGTCAAACAAACTCTACTGTCATGGTTGTGGGCTAGAGCACCTCCACTAATAATGGTAATCTCAATACTCATATTAGAACCCTATATTCTAAAGCTTGTGAAATTTATCTCTTCTCTCCTAGAAGCTATTCAATTCCAAATGGTGCTGCAGATGGAACCACGCATGGACACATCATTTTTCTGAGGATCCTTAGATCAACTGCAGGAGACGCTCTGGCTGCTGTTACCCATATAGCATCCCTTTACAGCAGGAAGTAGCCAGAAAAAGTCATTGTCCAATGCCCCCTAACAGCAGTTAGGGATACCACTCCTGAAGGGGGATATATGACAAAGGAGCTAAAAAAATTATTTAGGCAGAGGCCAGGCACAGTGGCTCACACCCGTAATCCCAGCACTTTAGGGGGCCAAGGCAGGTGGATCACAAGAATTAGCAGAGCATGGTGGTACGCACCTGTGATCCTGGCTCCTCAGGAGGCTGAGGCAGGAGAATTGCTTGAACCTGAGAGGCGGAGGTTGCGGTAAGCTGAGATTGCACTAATGCACTCTAGCCAGGGTGACAGGGCAAGACTCCATCTCAAAAAAAAAAATTTAGACAGATAGTGAGGGTAAGAGAGTCCTCAGCAGGGTTTCCCTTTTAACAAAAAGCAGCTTCAAAATTATTTCTTTTTCTAACAAACAGCAGCCTGAAAATAGAGCTGCAGACATAAGGAAGCTGGAAGTTTGCATGGGTGAATGCTGGCAGCTGTGCCAATAGAAAAGGGCTACCTGAATTCCAGGCATGTTCAACATGGAGGCTCCATCTTCCCTTTACTTTGTTACCATGTGTACAGTAAAAAGCAAGCAACATGGTGCCGGCCAGGTAGAGAACCCATCGGCATAATAAAATATTAGGGTGGCGTGGCCAGCTTCTTCACATGCTATGCAAATGGCACACCTGGTCCAACTAATCTTTTGTGCCCTATGTAAATCAGACACCACCTCTTAATGCTAGTCTATAAAGCACCATTCATTTCACAACAGAACTGGCTACCCAATTTTTCCAGGACATCTCTACTGAGAGTTTTTCTCTTTCTTTCACCTATTAAACTTCCACTCTTAACCTCATTCTGGTGTGTCTGTATCCTAGTTTTCCATGGCTGTGGGACAATGAACTTCATGCATTACCCCAGACAGTGACATCGATTCAGCAGGACTGCCACCAAGACTCCAGAACTGTAGAGCTACCAACATCCAAAGAGAGCTTGGAAAAGACAAGATGCCTGACTCTAATCCAGGAGAACAGCCACTTGTGGACTGCAACCAGCAAAGCCATGGGGCAGGGCTGCCTGAGGACTTGAGGGCCCAACTCCTGCCACAGTGTGCTCAGGATGAGGGACACAGGCTCGGAAGAGATTATTTCCAGCTTTAAAACGGAATGTCTTTCCTGTTGGGTTTTGGACTTCCGTGAGGCCTGTTACTCCTTTCTTCTGGCCTAATTCTCCTGTCTCAGCATTGTATCTTAGTGGTAGATGACTGGTTTTAATTTCACAGGCTCACAGATAGGACTTATTTTGGATTTCTGAGCTGATACCAGAACAAGTTAAGACCTCAGGGATCTGGGGATGGAATGAACGTATTTGCATGTAAGAAAGATACAAGTTTTGTTGGGGAGGGCAGGGGTGAAATGCTATGGCTTAAATATTTGTTCCCTCTAAAACTCATGCTGAAATTCAATCCCCACTGTAACAGTATTAACAGAGTGGAAAATCAGACTATGATATTTCAGGGGTGGAACCTTTTGCAAGGCAATCATATGTAAGGATCTATTAAAGCAACTCCCCTTCATTTTTATCAATAGCTATTCTGTATATTTATTACTCTTGAAAAAAATTAGAAATATTTTGTTAACAAAACTATCTTAGTGATACTCAGATTAAAGCATCATAAAGTCTGTGTATTTTGTTTGGAAAATGGACACAAATTGTCCTGTTCAAGAATGCAGTACTTTTATTTATCAAACTTCTTTCTCTCCTTAAGTAAACTTCTATTCTTTTCTGTGGGTTGCACACATGACTAGTAGACTGCTTTGATATTTTCTATATTTATTGCTCTTTTAAGTGACTTTTTTCTGGGACAGATGTATTGGCTTACTCTGCCAGAGACAAGTGATGCTGCTTTACTTCTCACTGACTGGAGAGAAAAGTATTTAGTGGTTTAACTTAAGCACGGCTTCATGGCCTTTTTTTTTTTTTAAAGCAGCATCCCATATTTGGTTACACTCTGGTCTAGTAACCACTTCCTTTAAGCAAGACAACCTTCTCCATCTGCAAGAGCCAGGCATGTGATTTAAAAAAACTTTCTTTGTGGTCACTTAGTTATCTTCTTCCTGCTTTGAGTGTTTGGGCTGCTAGTTTCATGTATTCACTTCCGACTAAAGCCATTCTTTACAACTTATTATAGTAAGTTTTGATTCACAGAATATTTTAGGCTGTTCTACAGTATAATAATTTCCCACAAATGTAAAGAATATAGGTTTGTACAGTTATGCTTCACATAACTTGTGTGTGGACATGTTCTGTTTCATCAGACTCAGATAAATAGGTAATCAGTGCATGGTGGACATACACAGTAGCTCAGGATGCAGTGGAAAGAAGTAGTTGGATCTCTTTTCCTGGTAGTTGGCACAGTTATGATCTTTGCTATTCTCCACACAGTGGGAGTTCTCTTTTGGTATTGGTAATTAGTAAATCTGCTTCATAAACTGTGATTAATATACCAAAATCTCTTATGGAAAGGTAGACAACATGCTAGCTTAGATAGGTAGTTTCAGCAGAGATGAAAACTATGAGAAAGAATAAAATTGAAATAAAATAAAAATACGTTAACAGAAATAAAGAATACATTTGACATGCTCACGAGCAAACTTGACACAACCCTGGGAAGAATCAATGAATTTGAAATAGAACAAAAATTATTCAGAGTGAAACACCACAGAAAAACGGTAAAAGTAAATTCAAAAAATAGATCAAGTGTGGAAATCCCTAGTTTGGGAGGCCAAGGTTGTAGTATTGCATGAGCCCAGGAACTTGAGACCAGTCTGGGAAACACAGGGAGACACCATCTCTACAAAAAATACAAAAATTAATTGAATATGGTGGTATAGACCTGTAGTCCCAGCTACTCGAGAAGCTGAGGTGGGAGGATCACTTAAGCTTGGGAGGTCAAGGCTGCAGTGAGACGTGACTGCACCACTGCACTCTAGTCTGGGCAACAGAGTGAGACCTTGTTTCATAAATAAATAACACTTTTATCAAGCAGTGGACATTGTTTACCCCCAATGCCCCCCCACCCCCCCCAACAGACACTCTTTTTTTTTTTCTCTTTGAATTTCACTATGGGTAATTTTTATTAGGTACCTTATTGAATTTTTTTTAAAACAGGTTATTTTGATTGGCTTTATTTTTCAATGTTGTATTCTGAAATAATTAGAGATTCAGAGGAAGTTACCAAGATAGTACAGAAAGACTCTCTATACCCTTCATCCAGTTTTCCCCAGTTGTTAAATCTTATATAACTAAAGTACAATATCAAAACCAGGAAATTACCTTGAAATATATTGTAAAACGATTTTCAACAAGGTGCCAAGGCCATTGAATGGGACAGGACAAGCTTTTTAATGATGATGCTGGGAAAACTGAAGTCCACATACAAAAGAATGAAACTGGATTCTTACCTTACATCATAGACAAAATGAACTCAAAACGAATCAAAGATCTAAAACATCAAACTATCAAACTATTAGAAAAAAACATAAAGGAAAGTCTTCATGACATTTGATTAGGCTATGATTTCCTGGACAAAACACCAAAGACATAGACAAGAAAAGAAAAAATAGATAAATTGGACCTCACAAAATTTAAAAAACTTCTAACTCAGGAAAGGAAAAACAAATACCATATGTTCTCACTTACAAGTGAGAGGTAAGCTATAGGTACACAAACACATGCAGAGTGGTAAAATGGACATTGGAGACTCAGAAATGAGGAGGATGGCATGTAGGTGAAGGATAAAAAACTACATATTGGGTACAGTTTATGCTACTTGGGTGGCAGGTGCACTATCTCAGGTTTCACCACTATACAATTTATTCATGTAACAAAAAGTCATTTGTACCCCCCAAACTATTAATATAAAAGTATATTAAAAATATTTGGCCAGGCATGGTGGCTCACACCTGTAATCCCAGCACTTTAGGAGGCCAAGGTGGTTGGATCATGAGGTCAGGAGTTTGAGACTAGCCTGACCAACATGGTGAAACCCTGTCTCTACTAAAAATTTAAAAAAAAAAAAATTAAAAATTCTTATTACTATCTACTATGTGTTCAATACTATTTTTGGTGCTTTATATTTGTCATTTCATTTAATCCTCAGCATTACTCCATGGAATAGATATTCTCATTTTGCAGTTGAAGGAACTAACACTCAGAGAGATTAACTTGGATTTATGGGCAATGTTTATATTATAAAGTAGAGGCAAGGATACCAGTCAGGATGCTTTTGCAGTAATCCTCTTGGGTGGAATTGTTGGTCTTTGAAAATAGAAAGTGAATCTCTTGGAAAGATTCTGGAATGATATTATTTTTGGCCCAAATGGCATACTACAGAAATCAATTAATTCAGTTGAATGGTAACCATATATACAAACATGCTCTTATTACTCTTCTATATCATGTCTTGAACTTTCTCTTTAAAAAGTGTGACATGAAAACTTTAAAACTGCTGTGCACCAAAGCACAGAGTCAATAGAGTAAAAAAGGTCACCAACAGAATGAAAGAAGGTATTGACAAATGGGGTCACTCATAAGAGATCAATATCCAAAATATGGTCAGTCATAGTGGCTCATACTTGTAATCCCAGCTACTTGGTAGGCTAAGGCAGGAGCATTTCTTAGGCCCAGAAGCTCAAGACCAGCCTAGGCAAGTAGGCAAGATAGAAAGACCCTCTCTTGTACAAAAAATCCAGAATATGTAAGGAACTTCTAAAACCCAAAAATAAAAAAAACAAGGGAGGTGCCAAGATGGCTGATTAGAAGTAGCTCCAGTCTGTGGCTCCCACTGAGGAGAATGAAAACAGCAAGTGAATCCTGCACCTTCAGCTGAGGTATCCAGGTGTTCTCATTGGTATTGACTAGGTAGTTGGCACAACCCACGAGAGTGAAGAAAAATAGGTGGAACAACAGCACACCCAGGAGTCACAAGGAGTAAGGAGAACTCCCATCCCCGGCCAAGGGAGGTGGTGAAAGATTGTGCTATCCCACCAGGGAAACCATGATTTTTCCATGGATAAGCACAACCTGTGGATCAGGAGATGCTCTTGTGAGCCCATGCCACCAGGGCCTTGGGTCCCAAGCACAGAACTGTGCAGACTCTTAGTGGCCACTGGGGCTGCGGCCAGTGGCTGCATGCTGGGGACTGCCTAAAACAACTGAGTTCCCAGGGGCAGGGGGTGGCTGCCATCATGGCAGCTCCAGTTGGCCATTTTCTCCTGCTGGTGCTGGGGAGACTAAGTGGTTTGGACTGGGAGGAACTTCCCAGAGTGCAGTACAGCAGCTGTGGCAGACCATTCCCAGACTCCTTCTTTAGGTGGGATCTGGATCCATCCCTCTTCACTTGGTGGGGCCTCTCTGCAGGAATTTCAGCAACTCCAGGGGTTTATGGACAGAACTCTGATCCCCCTAAGATGGACACCCTCGGGGAGGGGTGGCCACAGTCTCCATAGTTCAGCAAACTTACTCTCCTGCCTCCTGGCATTGAAAATCCTGGGCAGTCCAGAGGAGGTGGGATTCTCCCCAACACAGTGCACCTGCTCCACCAATGGGGAGCTAGAGTGCTGCCTTAAGCAGGTCCCTGATCCCATGCCTCCTGACTGGATGAGACCTCCCAACAGTGGTTGCCAGACACCTCATACAGGAATATAGAAATATTTCTAACTATCATCAGGTCAGTGCCCCTCTGGGATGGAGGTCCAAAAGGAAGGAGCAGGCAGCCATCTTTGCTGTTCTGCACTCTCCACTGGAGACACCTCCAGGTTCGGGAGGGACCCAGGAGAATAGGGTTTGGAGGAGATCCCCGGCAAACCACAGCAGCCCTGCAAATGAGGGATCTGATTTTTTAAAACAAAAACAACCAGAAAGAAACAAAAATGACGACAACAACAACAAAAAAGACCCCACTAAAACCCCAACCAAAGGTAAGCATTTTCAAAGACTGAAGGTAGATAAACCCATGAAGATGAGAAAAAGTCAACAACAAAAAAATGCTGAAAGTACAAAACGTGTCTGTGGCAGCATCCTGGGGACTGCCTAAAACAACTGAGTTCCCAGGGGGAAGGGTGGCTGCCATCACTGTGGCTCCAGTTGGCCAGAGTGTCTCTTCTCCTCCAAATGATTGCCACACCTCTCCAGCAATGGCACAGAATTGGGCTGAAGCTGAGATGAATGACTTAGCAGAAGTAGACTTCAGAAGGTGGATAATAACAAACTTCACCGAGCTAAAGAAGTATGTTCTAACCTAATGCAAAGAAGCTAAGAACCATGATAAAATATTACAGGAGCTGTTAACCAGTTAACGAGAATAACCAGTTAAGAGAGGATCATAAAGGGCCTGATGGAGCTGAAAAACACAACATGAGAATGTTGTAATGCAACCACAAGTATTGGTAGCCAAATAGACCAAGAGGTGGAAAGAATCTCAGAACTTAAAGGCTATCTTACTGAAATAAGAAAGGCAGAAAAGATTACAGAAAAAAGAATGAAAATAAATGAACAAAACCTTCAAGAAGTATGGGATGATGTAAAAAGATTGAAGCTATGACTGATTGGGGTGCCTGAAAGAGATGGGAAGTATGACCCAAGTTGAGAAGCATATTTCAGGATATTATCCAGGAGAACTTCCTCAACCTAGCAAGACAGGCCAATATTCAAATTCAGGAAATTCAGAGAATCCCAGTAAGATACT